TTTCGGAAAATCTTTTGAGACCGACCATATAAGCGAATAATCAATGATTTGGAAAGATCTGTTCAAAAATTAAAAGCATAGTTAGCAAATGGAAATACTCACAACGTACTTGATAAATTTCTAAAATTTTCGAACCATTTCTGTTCACTTTCACTGAATAGTTCGGAAAAGCCAGAATCCCTCGAAAGCATTATTAAGACATCATTTATTGACTCAACAGCGTATGTATTACCAACTAAGAGAAACTTTAGAAAGTTGCAGTCAAAAACGGTTTACCTAGATTTGATGAAATACTTTCCGGAACACTGTCGAGGCTATCTTCTGGTGTTATTTCGTCTAACTTCATTTTAAGAACTATTCAGTAAACAAGCAGAACCATATAAATTCAGAATCTGGTCAAACTACTAATGCATATTTAATCCACTAACTCATCTGTAAAGAGAAAAATTACTAGATTATGATTGGTTGCAAAAATTCAAATGTTGTTCTAAAGAAGACAAAAAAGTATACGATAAAACCTACCACAAAAATGAACTCAAAGTAAAAGTGAAGGTTTGACGAAATGAAAAAAATTATATCTTAACATGTATGTTGATGACCATACATTTTGGACTTAAAAGCATCCCGTTAAGAAATAAGGCAAATTGTAATCACATTGTTTCATTCGTAGTTTGATAAGATGTGCTATGTTAGGAGAGCCATGAATACAGTCAGTTATGAACGCAGTACCTAGCGCGAATGTGTATGGGCTCACATTCCTATACCATCAGGTTAACAACGAAAAATTAAAATGAAAAACTGGGGTAAGAACTTTATTTCTATAAGAAATACAGTTTGAAGGTAAGAAATAGGATCAAGGAATGAAAATTTAGCTTTAATTCACTAGGAATATATGACAAGATTACGAATAAATGCAACAGCGACTGGTTTTGCACTAAACCTAATTTATTCAGCCAGAAATTCTTCAGGTGTAGTTTTAAGCAGAATTTATTCTGAAATCAGTAAGCCGTGTAACCAAAGTAAACTATTTTTGTAAACATAAGCACAGAGACCACGTTGCTTAACTCTGCTTATTACGTAACTGCTTGTTTCTAACTTTTTACCGTTAACCTAGTAGAACACTCTTTGGATATATACATTGAGTGAGTATATATTTAAAATTTTACCCAATCTCTCAAATCTTTGCTGGCCAAAGTAATATGCGACCACAATGAACTTCAACTAAAATTGTTTTTGTAAGTATTTGTAACCCTCTCTATAATCTTGATTTTTAAATGTTACAGGTTATTAGCAGCTAGCAAGAACCTGACGAGGTAAAACAGATTCGTTTCACTCACTTCAAATATTTGTTTTTGCTTTTTCGAAGATGATGACGGGAACTGTATGTGAGGTGGTCGCTTCCCCTTAATTTCAAAATATTTTTATTTTGCGACTTACAACCATGTAGTATTCGTTGGCTATACCTTAGTACACTTTCAAAAACTTCTTTTTATTCATTTACAGATCTATGACAGCTTCCAATTACTGACTCCTCCGGTATTTTCTCATCGTTTGTGCGAAGATATCGAAAAGTCGATTAAATGAAATTTCTAGACGATAATATACGATCACCTTGAACATTAACAATGACATATGTAGGTTGCTTGAGAGACCCTATAACGCATATTTAGTGAATAAACAACTATATGATTTGACTGGAGTTTTATTTTGGATGACATCGAAAAAGCAAACGCTTCGGGTTCTTTCTCCCTCCTATAATGCTATTGATGCTTCATATCTTAAAAAAATTTCCCAACTATAAGTTACTGAGGTTCTAAATAAAGGTATTATCTACAGTGCTACAACGCTATATGATTTCGAGTTTGACAAGAAAAAACTGATTAGTTGACGCGGTAAATTTGTTGTCAGGAGTGTTAAACGAAGAATGAATGGCAACTTGTGAACCTCTATAAAACTGGAGGTGGTTAAAATGAAGGATGGATGTGTTCCTGTTGAGTTTCCAGTCGCCAACATTTTGACTGGGAACTTTTCGCTAATAGATAATTAAGTATCCACTAAGTACATGCTCATAAAGCAGTTCTTTCGAAACATAGTTGTTCTCAACACCGCCTCCATCTTCTGGTGCTGGTGTAAACGAGCACACTGCACTCATACTAAATTTTATAAATAGGTCTCACACTGATAACGCATCATGGCGAATTATTCTTAAAACGACTGCTGATTTATTTACTGAGATCGATTAACTGACTACTTACATCAGAAGCTCATCCGACGTAGTCAAAGACAGAATTATTTGCTGAAATCTTTTTTGAAATTCCGGTTAAGAACACAAGAACCGCGTACCCCAGAAGCTGCATTGAAAGAACGGAAGTTCTGTGGTCAGTCCGTAGGTCGATAGTTTTTTGTAAAATTTAAGGTGATGAAACAGTTCGACATTATTCGCAATGATCCTTGGAAGTCCATGACAACTTGTTTAGTTTACGTGTCGATGCTTGAACTATTATTTATACCTTACATGGAACTAAAGTCGAAATTTGTGTAACTACCGATTCTACAGGACAACTCTTAAATAGTCAAGATTACAGTCAGCATTTTTTATAAGATCTTCTGTGTTAACGGTTTAAAAGTCCAACCTGTCCCGATTACGAGATAATAAGCGATGGATTTTGCAAGCCAGGCGCCCTATGCAAGGAATAATGTAAACAGTGTGAATAGAATTTCAACGAAAAGGCAAGCTTAATAGAAGTTAGGAGTTTATTGACTATCTGTAGATGTTTCCACTAATTTTGTACACGGTTTATCTGTAAATTACTATTTACTGTATATTTTCATGTCAACTGGCTTCACAAGTACTTACCAATCTAACCGTAAGTTTTTAATTCAGCAAACATCTTTACATTACCTTTCACAATTAATACGCTTTTCAAGTGCCGCTATGGGTATCGGCGGTGTAGATTCCCATGATCAATGATTGTTATCATATTAGGCACTTTTTGTCCACAGGTATCTTGGATACTTGATGTTAAGTTTATCACACAGAACTGTTATGTTTCTTGAAAACAGTTAATAAAAGTTCGGTTTATACGTAATAAACACACCAACAACTTGATCTTAATTGGAGAGAACATGAAGATGTTAATTACTCTTGAAAAATGTATATGTACTTCTCCATGTAGAACGCTTATGCAAGCTATGTTGATCATCGTTTTTAAAAAGACATACGATGAGAAAAAAATGGATTAGTGTATTCGAAATTGTAATAAGTTCGGGAAACCCACTGCAAAGAAGAAAGACGTTCATACACAGTGAATTCAGCGTAAAATTCAGAGTAACACTGAAGGAAGTCCATGTAGCTTCCTCAAAATGTGGGGAGAGATTTGGGGCTTTATCAGTGAACTTTAATGAATTTCCTCTAAAATATTGGAAATACCGGGTATATTTTAAGGAAATATTGAGGACTAATCAAAATATCCTAAAAGCTTTGGGAAATTATCTTTGAGTAACTTAAGCTTTGGAAAAAACGACGGACGTGGAAATAATTTTGTGTTTTACATTTTATTTTATACAAAACCTTACTCAGAATCCCCTTAAAATTGAAAGAATTTTACCTGTAATTAGGAGATTGAATTATAAATTTCGGTTGCATACTGACTGATTATCTCTAGTCGGAATATTTTTCACTAAATTTTAAAGCTCATGAAAACCAAAATCCAGAAATTCTCCTTTGCTGATTTATTATTAGTCTAAAAAAAGCACGACAGTGAAAGTCTTCGGCAACGCTTCAGGGCAACGCTCCTAGGGTATCGTCCACTGTGGGGGGTTGCGAGCACTTGAAGGTCAAACTGTCGCAAAATGATTGGTGCGTCACATCGACAATTCGTGAAAATTTTCGGAAGCGGTCAAATCAAGACATTTTTAGATATGAATTGAGTTCAGCCACATTATGTTTGATAACGTTCATTCTTCAAAGAACGAAGACGATTCCATCGTGATGAAGCATGATATAGGACGAATCTTCAATGATATTATGTTATCTCGAAGATTTACAAGTTGGGACAGTTTTGAGACCTGTTTGAAAGAAGTACATAAGGTAATATGACCTCTGTGGTTAATAATTATTTTTTTAGTATACGCATACTAAGTACGTTATGTCAGTATGCAAAAAGAACAATGATGATCCAACTCTAAAGTACCTTTTCGTGAGATATGTCACATTGTAATTAATTGAGTTTAGACACTAAAAATATCAATGACATTTTACAGCGCGTTCAAGCAAATACTGAAGTTAAAGTATTCAATGAAAATGGGAACATGACTATGATTTGCTTCAGCCACAGAGAGCAAATAGCTGTTTACCTCACGTTCCTGGAGGTAATATGTATTGATTTGACTTATCAGACCAATAAAGTCGGGTAACGATTAGTAATAAATTTATCTGAAAGTTTTTCACTGTTCCAGCTAGTGGTGACTGATAGTCTTGGGCAAGGGCACACTGTTATTTATGCTCTTTGCAGTCAAGAACGACGCGAAGATGTCTAAAAACTATCAGAATGTTGTAACCATATAATGTACGGTACTTATGATACACGCACTTTCGTCATGGATTCGGCAGCGACCGAAATTTCGGCTGTGCAGTCTACGCACAGTCATTCTAACATAATACTTTGTTTATTCCATGCCCTGATAGCGTTTTTCAGGAAGGTATTTGTTAGCTGTACAAATTATCTGTAGTTCCGAAATTCTGATGTGCGCAAATGCTTGGAACACTTTGTGAAGACTAGACGGTCTGATATGTGAGCTTCGCTTTTCATAGCGCATTATATTCAGATATACTCGAAAGTACGAACATCTAAGGACGCATTTCTCACGAGCGTATGACTACATAAAAGACTACTGGATTGCCAGGAAGTCAATGTGGGCTCGCTGTTACCGGCGACATGTATTAAGCCTGGGCAACCACACAAACAACCGTGTCGAAAATGCTCACAAACACCTAAAAGAACGTCTCAGAAGAGGTGATTCCCTGCTTTTGACGTTCTGAAAAATTTGGGGTAAAACAGACTGACCTATGTTTGCATCCATATGACGCTGTAAAAAATCTTCAACGTTTTCCATTTCTTTAGGTAAGAAATATAGTTAAATGTATCATGAATTCCAGGTTCCAATGTCATTTTGAATTCCTATGAGTGAGTTCACATCTTTTACAGCTAAAATTGTATCTGTAAATTATAAACGTTTTAGGACAATGAGACACGGATTTATAGAAGGAGAATACATACGGTGCTACAACAAGTGTATGATGTATGTCGTTGATACTTCACATGCATGATGTGCTTGTGAGCGTTTCAGTGACAACATGCTGCCCTGTGGTCATATTCTGTATGCACATTCCAAAGATCTAATTCGTGGAGGTAAGAGTGTGTTCCCTTATCTCTATAAGCTTTGTAGACTTATTGCGACATAGCAGCCGGTGGAAATGGAAATACATAATGGACTTGGTTCTTCGTGCGCTGGACAACATGTCATTCTCTACAGGGAGTGTTGATCTGCTAGAGAAGTTCACTAACAACTACCACTCAGTTCATGCTCTTAGTGAACCTTTGGCAAGTAAACTCATCCGTTCATGCCTCGAAGCATCGGAAGACATATGCGCACAATTGATGAGTTCAGTCGGTGCTAACGATGAAGCTACAGCGTCAGAATCCATTGTTAATACAGACCATAGCTATGCTTCTTGCTAACAAGAAGTTCTAATATTGTAATCTTTTTAGTTTTACATAAATTCATTTATATGGCCATTGACTTATTCTTATAGCGTAACGGCAGGGAGTGTACTGTGCAGTCTTATGTGGCTGTGAGACAGGGATGTTGTTTCGCGTTCTTGTGTAATAATTACCAGTTTGGCGCACACGCGATTAGTCATACCTACCGTTTACCAAATACTGCTACCTTGAACATGATGTACCATCTTGACTATTGAATCGTAATTTTCAGTGCTTTCTCGTGACAGCTTTATATCAGTACTTATTTCTGATATTAGGTATTTTTGCAATAATACCGGCAGCCAAGATATTGAAGCTCCCCAGACAACCCAAAAAGGGGAAAACGCATCACAATGTCGCTTTTTTCGCCTGTCCGGGGGAAATAATGTGGATTTCCCCTTTCTTCGCCGTTTTGTCGATAAATTACTCACTTTTCGCATAAATATCTGCCAAATTACCGAATTTTCGCCTAACTGTCCGCATAATTGTCTACTTTTCGCCTAAATGTCCGCTGAATTGTTTACTTTTCGCCTAAATACACACAGAACTCCCTGTTTTCCATCCATTGACATAAACCCAAAGGTCTCTTATGTTCGCCTTTATTTTTAACAACAGACCAAAATAAATCTGCAATACAGTGGAAAACCGGCATATTTTTGAAAATTTTTATTTAAAAGGTAAAGCGTATTATTGTACAACACTAGAGCAGAAGCTTAAGCATCGATTGTTTTGCATATCCAATGCAATTGCTAATTCATTGTTATGTGAAACTATCTGCAAAAGAAGAAACACGTGATGTATTATTTATAAGGAATGTGCATTTATTCAATTGTTCACTGACACTCGAACACACATTCTCAAAACTTCTACAGCTTCCCATGTAAGTAAAAAAGTAAGCTGTTTGAAAAATAATATTTATTGAAATGTAAGTATAACATCAAAACAATTGCACGGCTATTGAGAATTAAGGTAGTCGTACCGTGAATTCTGAATTTAAAAAAAGAAAAAAGTTACAACCATATCTTAATGACATGCTTTGATACAGCCAAATACATGCGTACATCTACACAAGAGGTAGTAATGCTATCTTAGCTTGGTCTCTGGTAAAACCTCCACATAATTATACCTCTACCGCACGATTATGATTTATTTCCTGCAATACAATCATCTGGTGGCTAATATATCTAACTGTAGGAGGCAATATTAACATCTTGGTATGTGTTATTATCATCTATAGCATATACATAATATTTACAACACTCAGGACACTTAATGTTTTCACTATGAAGCTAGTTCTGCCATAAAAATCGAACAAAACAGTGAAAATCAGCAGAAATTGTGATAAAGATGGGAAAAACTATAAATCTTTACATGGTATCGTTATTTGTAACGCAGTTTTTGTAGCCTTGACGACAATATAATTTTTATGACGATATATGCCTGAATCTTGCTATTTCATATAAAATTAAAAGATTTGCCTACCATCAGTGCATACCTAACTAGAAACAATTGCTAATCTGCGATGCAAACACCGAAAAACTATTATAGCAGCACCTGAATAATGAATTTTCAAGGACTTCGCGATACCATGTAACGCAAAATGAAAAAACCCTTTTTACCTAATTATGAAAACGGAAAATAAATTTTCAAATTTATTCATAATGTATTTCAAAATTTGGTTGTGCACAAAGCAGAAATGAAGAAGTAGCGCAAAAAAGTGTCGCGATACCCCTGGAGCGCTGCCACGCTTCAGGGGTATCGTCCACTGATGGAGGTTGCGAGCACCTGAATGTCAAACTGTCGCAAGATGATTGGTGCGTCACATCGACAATTCGTGAAAATCTTCAGAAGCGGTCAAATCAAGACATTTTTAGATTTGAGTTCAGTCATACCATGTCTGATAACGTCCATTCTTCAAGTAACGAAGACGATGCCATCGTGATGGTGCATGATATAGGACGAATCTTCAACGATATTATGTTATCTCGAAGATTTACAAATTGAGACAATTTTGAGACCTGTTAACAGGTCTTCTTTGAAATTTCAAAGAAGTACATAAGGTAATTTAACTTCTGTGGTTAATAATTATTTTTTTAGTATATGCATACTAAGTATGTTATGTCAGTATGCAAAAAGAACAGTGATTTAAAAAGGACAGTGGTATTTTCCCTCGCTGAGTAAATTTGTTTGTTTTGATCGTTTATTACGTATCAAGACTACTGTTTTCACTTTAATTGAATTTATTTCAGTTAAAGTATTCGACTAGAGTATCGTTTTACTGTTTTGTCGTTGGTACTCTTGAGTACCTCTTTTTCAACTGTATCTGTTAGTACTTTTGGTCCTAGCAATCTACAGCTCTTCACTTTTTGGTCATTAATTATTTTTTTTTGTTTCTGAGTATCATCGCATCTTGAAAAAGAACCCCGCCTAAATGACCGGACAGTGTAAAAAAAGCAGTTGCCAACGTCCGGGTTGTCGTTATCCTGTTGAAAGCGGCATGCAGTGTGACGAGTGCAAAGGCTGGTACCACGAAGTTTGCACGAACTTAACGCCTGCTGCTTTCGAACAGTTCAGTAAGAAGGGTTGTGTATGGCTTTGTCAACAGTGCTGCTCGGATGCAAACAGCCTGTTAACCGAGGTCATCTCACTGGTTGATGCTGCAAAGAGGTGTTTTAGCAAGCATAGTCGGAACGCGTCAAACAGCACTCGATCTGTCGACACGCAAATCAACGTGAAGGAAACTAAGGTTAGTTCGGTGATAGATGACTCACGCCCGTCAAAGAAGGAAAAGCAGTCTCCGAAGTGGCTTGCCTTAAACAAAAGCTCAAGAAAAGCAGGACTTTCTGTTCCCTGTCTCCCAGATGGGATCCAACAGGATACACCTAGAAGCCGCAATCGCAAGGCTCGATCGGTTTCAAACGGTAAACATAACACGACCTCTCAGGTCGTCGACAACCTCCCAAAACCCAACACTAGGTTTGACGCAACTGTTATTGCTTCTACCAGCACTGTTGACGAATGGGTAAATGTTGTAAGGAAGAAAAGTAGGGATATAAGAGGGAAACCTGCCCCCGTAAAAGTGGTTGAAAAATCGAAAGCTGATCATAGCGACAGGTCATCTATTTTTCATAGAATCAAAGAGAGCGAGAGCTCTGAACCTAAAGCTCGTTTTGAGCATGACATTGTACTGATTATGCAGCTGCTTAATCAACTCATGCCTCAAAATATGACCGGGGTCACCTTGCTAAAGGTGTACAGACTAGGGAGTCTAGCGGACTCGAAACCAAATAATTCCAGACTGCTTAAAGTAGTATTCAGCTCTTCGAACGAACGTGACCTAATTTTACAAAATGGACACAAATTAAAGTGTTCAGGAGTCTTTATCTGAAATGACCTACCGTTGGCAGACCGTGTTAAAAGACGGGAAGCCGAGAGAGAACTAAAACATAGGTTAGACGCTGGCGAAAAGGATCCACTAATAAATAACTTCTCTTTCTTAGGAATTGTCCCCGTTAGGTCTGTGAACACTTGCAAAGCCAGATAGAAATAAGATAGACAATAAATAATTATTGCAGTATAAATTTTTACCAGGACCTAGTATGAAAGCAGAAACCAGTATTCAATTACAGATCGAAAGTGCATTTGGCACACCCTTGCTTTGGATAGTCAATCACGCTTATTTCCTTTATCTCTTGCGTTGCTTAGGAAAGTCAGGGTCGCAACATACATGGATTGTATTATTTAATTCTTTGGACAGGTTGCACTTCGGAACATATATAAAGACTACTGTATGAACTTACTTTGAATCGTCCTCTGTAACCTGCAATTACTGATGCGTGTTTCATTGTAGTCCGACGTAAGGTATGAGTAATTGTCATTTACGGCATCAGCACGTAACCTAGACAGGCCTTGGTTGACTTTCGAAGGCCATCACAAACGATCTCAGACAATCAGGTCACCTGAGATCAAGATATCTTGATTATCGAATCGTACTTGTCAATGCTTTCTTGTAACCGCTTTATATTGGTACTTATTTCCGCTATTAGGTATTTTTGCAAGAATACCGACAGCCAAAACATTGTAACTCTTGTAACGGTAGATAAATCCCCAAAATAAATAGCTCTGTAGGTTTTCAACATTGGATGCTGACCATATGTTTTAGTGGACTCATCTAGTTGAAGGCGCTCGGTCATGCATCCGTACCAGATCACGTGTGGTAAGGCTGTGCTCAACATCTACCGCAATCGCTAGCCAGATTAGATCAAAGAATTCCGATATATTGGTTATCGCCAAATACACTCTTCCGATCTCTCCGACTCTGTCTTTTGATTTCTCTTGGTGGGTACGAATTATATTAGGTGTTACTGGTAGAAGCGTTGTCAAACACTGAATACCTGTGCCATCTTCACTCTGCACATAGGTAGTAAGGCTATCTTAGCTTGATCTCTGATAAAATCTTCACATAATTACACCTCTTCCGCATGATTATGATTTATTTCCTGTAATATAATCATTTGGTGGCTAATATATCTAACTATAGAAGGTGATATTAACATCTTGGTATGTGTTATTATCATCTATAGCATACACATAATATTTACAACACTCAAGACACTTAATGTTATCACTATCAACCTATTTCTGCCATTAAAGTCGAACGAAACAGTGAAAATCAGTCAAGATTGTGATAAAGAAGGGAAAAACGATAAATCTTACCATGGTATCGTTAGTTGTAACGCGATTTTCGTAGCCTTGACGACAATACAATTTTTATGACGATATATGCCTGAATCTTGTTATTTAATATAGAAATAAAAGATTTATCTACAATCAGTGTATACTTAAGTAGAAATACTTGCTAATCTGCGATACAAACACCAAAAAGCTATTATAACAGCACCTGGATAATGAATTTTCAAGGACTTCGCGATACCATGTAACGCAAAAAGGAAAAACCCCTTTTCACCTAAATGCGAAAACGGAAAATGAAATTTCAAGTTTCTTTATAATTAATTTCGAATTTTGTCTGTGCGGAA